TGAGTGAGTGAGTGAGTGAGTGAGTGAGTGAGTGAGTGAGTGAGAGTGAGTGAGTGAGTGAGTGAGTGAGTGAGTGTGTGTGTGTGTGAGTGAGTGAGTGAGTGAGTGAGTGAATGTGAGTGAGTGAGTGAGTGAAGGAAATCCCTGTTTGTTCTGAAGTTGCTTTGTTTCAGTTGATCTTGTTAGTAAGTAGTGTGTCTTTCTGTGTGTGTGTGTGTGTGTGTGTTTATGAGTCGCAGACATATAACGTTATCATTGTTTGCAGTTGGTTTATTTCTACTCGAATCAGTTGTCTAAAAGATCATTTGAAAACAAACACAGTTAGTCAGACTGGTTATAAGGGCTGTTTATGGAACTGGCTGCTGGTCAGAGTTACTCGAGGGTACAGGCTGTTGTTGATTGTAATGAGATGTAATTGTTAGTGTTGATGCTCCTGTTTGACGTTTTATGAGCTGTTGATGAAGAACAGATATACTACTCATCAGAAAACATGAGCGGTTGAGCTGCCTTATGACAGGACCGACTCGTTCCCCATCATTCCCTGTGCAGCGCAAGAGTGACGAACACACCGATGAAGCAGCGCATCATGGGTGTTTAACCCATGACGTCATCCACATGTGTTTGTGGTCAGCAGCTGAGTCTCAGCATCAGCGCATCACGATCGCCCTGAGATCTCCGGCACGATTTGTATCGACAAAGCATTAAAATGATACAAAACATAAAAAAATGTTTAGAACAACTGAAACAGAGTTTGATCAAGCAGTATGGAAGGAAAAACACAAAAAACTGATTATAAATGATTATAAAACAGAGATCGTGTCACTTATAAAGAGAGTGCTATTCTGAATATTTTGCTGAATTTGGACTTTGTTTGAATGGAAACTTGTTTCCACCACAGAATAAAAAAATAAAAAGGTAATTGTGACTTGTATCACAATTTTTACTTTTTTCTTACAATTAAACATTTTTTTTTGAGTTTACATCTTGCAATTCTGTTTTACAGTTGCATTAACATTTTCAAAATTGAGATAAAAAGTGGCAACTAGATAAAAAAGTTCATCAAGACAAACTTTAGGTTGGCTTGAGAACGCCAAGCATGAAAGTTTACAGCAGTTGTAAAAGCCTGAAGTTTGACAATTTAGCTAGATTAGATAGATGTCGATAACATGTTTCTAGCATGATTAGCCTGTTACTAGCATATTGCTGGCATGATTACCGCCATTACCAGTAGCTGCTCGCATTAAATTCAAGGCATTAATGTTTGCCTACAAAACCACCACTGGCTCTGCACCCCTTTACCTAAATTCATTACTTCAGAGTTATGTGCCTCTAGAAGCTTGCGTTCTGCAAGTGAACGGCGTATTATTGTGCATCTCAAAGAGAACAGACTTTTTCATTAACTGTTCCCTCCTGGTGGAATGAGCTGCCCAACTCTATCCCAGCAGCTGAGTCCTTAACCAACTTCAAGAAACGACTAAAAACACATCTGTTCCACCTTTATTTGACTCTCTAAATCTAGCACTTTCTATTCTATTTTAATTCTACTTTATCTATATTTATCTT